TTTATTCAAGGATTTATTTGTAAATGTTTAAAATAATTTAAGACTAAACTGTTAAATCTTTGAAAATTTGAGGCGAAACTGTCCAAAAAGAATTCGACACAAACATCAGATTGCACGGTTTGCATTGCGTGGTGGTGGAAGGTCCAATTCAGCCCTTCTACTTACAATATTGTGCATGTCAGCCCCTTTACTTCAAACCAGTGCAAATTGCTCCCTTTACTACAAAAAATTCACAAATCATCCCTTTCAGTAAAGATTACGTCATTTTCCCACTAACCCATATATTGCCCTGTTAAATGGGATGACTAGGTGCTGATTAGGTAATGCCTAGGGAATGACTTGGACAAAATGCTTGACTTGGGTTAGCTCACATGGCAAAGGAATACTTTGATCAAAAAGACCTTACAAGAACAAATTAAATTAGGATTTAGGGATTTTGCAAAATAACCCTCGATTGCAACTTTTCTTCTCATTCTCAATCCTTTTGGCTTTACATAATTGGAAGAGGGGAGGAACCATATTGCCAAATTTGTTTCTTACTTGGTTTTGTTGCTGGTGTGAAGACAAACCAAATGTTGCATGTTGGGAAACCTACTTTGAACCTAGGGTGCAATGGGTTCGCTAATTAGTTAAGGGAGCCATTCAGTTGTGAGGCTAACAAGGTGGATTTTTGGGAACTCAATTTGGGTTAGTCAATTTTGTTACTTAGGCCTTGATCTAGTGTGTTTACCATGACTATGACCACTAGGGTTATTAATGAGTGAAATAGTTCGTGAGTAACTTGTAAGCTATTTAAGTTAAGCTCCACCCAAACTTAATTTTGTTGGTAAATGAGTTAAGTTCGAATTTAATTTTGAGCTTGATTAACAAAAAAAAAAAAAAAATCAAGTTTCCATGATTACTCGTGACCTACTCACGACCTACTCATAAGTTCAAACCGAGATGATTTGGGTTCAGGACAGATCTAAGTTCCTCGCTAACCTAGATCTAACTCTGCGCATGAACCCACTTCACTCAAGAAACTTTGGGTATTTCTTCACCCACATGAGCAAAAGCACCCGTTGGGTCACTGACATTGATCCAAACAAACCATCACAATAAATTCGCCCACACCCACAACCAGCGTTCTGGTTCCTCATTATTTGGGTCTTCCTGCACTAGTTCCTCCACCAGTGGGTGGAGCCAACATTTTTAATAGTAGATTCCTAGAAAAAAAACCCATGAAATTCCAAAAACCATGGCAAGAAAATTATCATGCAGGCAGAGAATGGGTAAGATTACAAAAAGAAATTGGGTTGTTACCGACATCCCTCTCCTTGTGTGCAACATTTCTGTCATATCCTTTAAAAAAAAAATTGAAAATCCCATAGCTACCCAGCATTTTGCTTTTAATTCACTGTCCAATAATGGAGACAA